TAGTTGCTATGGCTTTATTTATTCTTCAACCGCCTTTTCCATCAGTACTCCAGAACTCATTATTGAATTAGTACAAGTGTATGGTCTGTACGTCCCTGAAGTTCGCCGTAATTCAGAGATGTCCCGGGATGCTCTTTGACCGCTCCCGCTAATGAACTTCATGTGTCTGTCAACCTCTCAGGTTCTCCCAGCAGAGATGTAGGACCGTCCCTGGGTCTGAAGAAGTCAAGCTCTTTGGAGAGCCTGCAGACAGCCGTCGCCGAGGTGACTTTGAATGGGGACATTCCTTTCCACCGTCCAAGACCCCGAATCATCCGAGGGAGGGGCTGCAACGAGAGCTTCAGGGCCGCCATCGACAAGTCTTACGATAAGCCTGCTGTAGATGACGACGATGAAGGCATGGAGACCTGTAAGTCTGCAGGGAAAACGCTGAGTAGCAAGAATAAGCACTTCCTCAAGCAGCAGTTCTTCACCCACACTCTGGGGAGCCTGTGGAGGTCCCCAGCGCCTCCAGGTGGTTCTGTAAGGTCAAAACTATTTTCACAATGAAACCAAAATAGGCTAGTGCCAGTTTTACCCCCACTCTCTCTCAAGCGCCCAGTTTTCCTGCCTTCTGGGGAGAGTGCAATTGATGAAATATCGAACTAGATACAAGAATACATCTCTTCTTTCAGTTATTAAAGGGATTCGCTAACATTGAAAACAATGGTATTTTTTCTCCCTGATTGTTTTTGGAAAATGCTGTTATTTTTCAAAGAAATGTGATTTCTGTTAACATATACCTGGTTTATTGCTTTCATGAAATAACTGATACGTATTTTTAAGTTTTTTCTCAGCTTTAATCTACTAAATGCATGCTTAAGAAAAAGTATTGCTACTTAGCGTTCCGATTCATACATGTAGGGATTTATTCTAAACTAAACATGTTGGAACATGTCTTTGTGATCAGTGGCTGGCTGTAGACACGTTTTTCTGGTCACAGCTCTGCCTTGACATTACTAAAGAGCCTTCAACAAACAACTCCCTCACAGTAGCAGATCTTAAAGGGAACTGCTGACCAGCTCCATGAAACACAGACGAGCTGGCTCAGAAGATTATGGCGTCTATCTTTGATTTTCAAGGGAATTCTCAGCCCCCCACGGGGAAAGCTTGTTGTATTTTTGTTTGTTTGACACAAGATGGTCACAGAAGTTTGTTAGGGAGATTTTGAAGAAAATTGCCGACTGCATGGGTGGTACAAAGGCCAGGATATTTTTGAAAAAGCTTGTTCCCATCAGGACAGTGCTCCTGTGTTCTCTTTAAGGGCAGCCAGGGCTGTCCTAAGAGAAAACCCCATTGGGAAGCTTCACCCCGTGTTACCCCTGCAGAATTCTCCGTGTTCCCCATACTCAGTGAGCATCTAAAGGAACACCCTGGGAACGCCCCAGGATGGGAGAGCTGCCATGTGGGTCTGGCATGAATCGGAGAGCACAGAGTTTTGGGGGGAAGGGTTATCGAGATGGAAATATCACTTTTAGAAATGTACAGCTCTAGATGCAGAACACGTTGGGAACTAATGGGTTTCTGTTTTGTGTAATAAAGATTTCTATGATTTATAGCAATACTTTTGACTTATCCTTAAATTGATAAATTTACCCAATATTAGAAAAATGTTTTTGGAGTCCTTAATATTTGGCATGCATCTAAGTCTCTTGAGACCAAAATGTTTGAAAACCAGTGGTAGATATTATGACTAGAGTGGACATATACAAATGTATCTACTATAAAAACACACACACACAGATACACACACTTTGAAAAAATCTTTTTTTTTGGAATTGTTGCTTGTGCTGAATTAAAAAGATATCGTTGTTTATGTGTGTGTGTTTCCAAACTGCATAATATTTTAAGCCAAATATTATTGACCATCAGTAATTAATAGGGGCCCCCAAATATGTTTTTCATTTTACATTGAGTAAAGCATTAGCATTTGTAGATGTAAACAGTGTATATATGTTTTCAGTGAGTTGTCTTTATAGCCATACATTCATAGCATGACAATGTCCATTTGATTTGGGGTGGTGGCAGCAGTGGGGGAGCCTACTAGAGTTTTTACTGATGGTTGTAGAGAAAGAACTTTGTAAACCTCATAGTAAAAATTGTTGATTAGCTTATAGTGTTCATAAGGACTAATGTATCTTTCTATTTCTTAACTTTGACATGTGACTCTACATTTAGAAAAAGGCACGACTAGGAGAAGCAGCCCTTTGTAGGAAATGCGAGCGAACATCCCGAAGCGAAAGCAGGGCCTAGACCGGGTGGTTGGTTAGAAGTGCTTACAAGTGAATGTTCAAGTGGATTATGTCTGTCATGGCTACCTAAGGAAGACTGTGGTGGAGAGGAAGCATTTTAAGTAAAAAGGTCCTCTTCTGAGGAGACGGAAGCAATGTTTTCATATACGTTTGTACTATGTAATGTGTTTGGGACGAGGGGTACTGTTGGCCATCGTGCAGCATGCAAAGCCAACGTTAGGACATTATCTCTACCTTGTGTCCCTTCTCCTCCTCTTAATTTTTCATATAAATTTGAAGGGTTCCTCCCCCCCTCTGTCTAGTCAGTGGTTTGAAATATATGCAGTCTTTTTTTAAACTCAAAACAAGAGCTCATTTTCTATATTTTGCTGCCCCCTCTGATCTCCAAGACCACCAGTCATGTACACTTTGAAATCCTGGTGTTGATGGTCTTTTGTGGATGGTCCTTATTACCCAGGCTTCCAGAGTAAAAGCCTTCATGCTCCTGGATCCTGTTGCCCTCTCTCTCTCTCTCTCTCTCTCTCTCTCTCTCTCTCTCTCTCTCTCTCTCTCTCTCTCTCTCTCTCTCTCTCTCTCTCTCTCTCTCTCTCGGCATTTCATAAGCTAGATAGGTTTTTTCTTTATTTAAAAATTTATTAATTGGTTTAAAGACAGTCTGTTAGATTTTACTTGACGTTCATCATGTTTTCAATTGTAGTAGAAATATATGTAATAAAACATTTGCCATTTCAACATCGTTAATATGTTTAATTTAGTGATAATAATTGCATTCACTATAAGGGTCTAGAGACAGGGTCTTCTAGCCCCTCAAGAGATAAAAATAAATGTAGATAGAATCATATAGATGTAGCAATGGACAGAATTATTAGCCTTTACAATTCATGGTGATTCTGAACTCTTAAAATTCTGTTTAAAATTTGGAGTTTCCTGGCTTATAAAATGCCATTTTCTCACCTAGTACTACTATATTGCCAATTTCAAATATGATGACGTGGAATACGTGTCAGTATAAGGATGTTCTTAATTCAGCAGGTGCAATCTCTAAGAATTCGTCATCATTTTAGAACTCTGAATTTGTCCCACTGTAAACTGTTTCAGTTTGCAGTTGGAGACTAAAAATTCAAGTGCATCATATTTCATTCCTTCTTCATTCCTCAGGAGAAAATAACAACAACAGTTAAATAGACAAATTACAATTTGGATGCCAATCAGAAAGTTATGGTCAAAGATTGGGAAAGATGTTTGTGCCTTTGACCTAAACCATGCACCTACCAATCACATAATGGTTTTCTCAAAACCCCTATTTTCTTTTCCCGACTGGTTTGTCAAACTTGGGATACCTCAAAAGAATGGCAACATAAAATTTAAATTTATGCAGTGTGAATTGTTGAAACTGTACTTATCTGAAAAAATAAGCACTGACCTGAGAGGAAACGATTTGCCTTCTAGTCTAGAATTTTCTAAGTTGGGATATTGGCCAGACAACTTAAATTCCTTGAGCTTTAATTTCCTCCTTTGTACAACTGAAGGTTTAAATAATAAAAGCATTGATTTTCAAATTGTGCATTGTGACCTCTGGTCAGGAGAGGCCCCCGAGGGGAAGGTAAATGGGAGGTTAAGCCAAGTGGTGCTCAGGATGGCCACAGAACTTAATTCCTCCTCTGAATGAATCATTACTCTGCCTGAACTTCAAAACAGTTGTGGGAAAATGTAATTACAATGGATCTTTCCAAGGAATTTTTTCAAAATCCCTTCATATGAACATTGTAATTCTTTGAAAATTTTAATTGGGTGGGAATAAAGGTGTTTTGCTCTGCTTCAGAAAAGCTTGACAATCACTGGTTGAGATGATCTCTGAGATGCCATCTAATTTTCTCATTTGATGAGTCCTTAGTCATTGACTTGCCTCCCCACATCCCCCCTCCTTTCAGCACGTTCCTCCAGGAAAAGCACCTCTTTGCTCTCTTGCTCCAGCATAACCAGCACCTAGCACAGGTTGGACAATTCCTAGGATGCAGTGAATCTTTATTGAATGTGTACATGGATGGGTGAATTCCTGCCTAACTTGTGTGCGTGTGTGCACCCATCCTGTGCACGTGTGATATACAGACACAGAGCCATTGAGATTTTCAATATGCTGTCAGCTTTATGGCAAAGACTTGGTTGTCCATGTTGGTATCCCATACTGGATCTTAAACTTAGAAGACCTTCAGTACCTCAATAAACTCTAGAGTGGTGTGAACGCTAGTGGTCATTGGCCTACTATAAGACTGGGAAGGAAAAGATGCTTTTTATACCACCTGGTTGTAGGCTAGAAGTCCAGGAAGTAAGATTTTTCTTTAGGTTCTTCAATGGCTGCCCTTCTCAAACGCTGGCTTGTGAATTTTCCCCACGAGGTCTGCACACGTCATTGCTGCTGTTTCCAGAAGCCACGGTGCTCTTTTCTGGTTGTGCGTCAGCCTCCTCACCCTTCTGAGGGCTATCTCTCAGCAGCTCCTCTTGCTGCCTGGCAGACGTCCAGCCATTGAAGGGTTCATTTGCATCAGCAGCTTTTTTGTACCAGGGCACATGAAGGTAAACTGCCCTGTCACCCTTGCCTCTTGCTCTGAAAAAGAGGGCCATTGTTTGAGCAGACAGTCTTTTTATTATACAAGATGTTCTGTAAGCATGGAATTCACCCTGTTAAAAGTTCCAGTGGGCAGCTGTTGAACACCGATGGGCACAGAGAGCCCAGGGCCTGGTTGTAAGAACAGAGCTTCCCTTGTGCCAATCTCTTGATTTTCTCTTCCGATGTAGACTCCCCTCTCCACGAGGGAGCCCCTTATACGTCGGCTTAGTTTATGGCTTTTGTAGGTGGCATGGAGTGACTCCATCTCACAGCCGTCACGAGGCAGGCCCTCTTCTCAGCAGTGTTGAAATCACGTCATGGGCACGAGACGATGGAGGCCAAGAGACTGGGAAGAGATCCATGTGGTATCTGGTAGCTGTCATCTTCGGTGGCACTTAGTTCTTCCCGTGGCGATGGCAGAAGCTGGCGTTTTTGTCTCTCGTTGACTCCATCTGGCCTCTCCATGTCCTGGGTGTCTGTCTGGATCAAGATGGAGCTTTGTATTCTGGG